ATCTGGCCCTTTGCTTTGTGAAAAAGCATTACAGTTAAATAAAAAATTAGGTGACGGCGGCTCGTTTGTCGCAAGTAACGGATGGTTATATAGATTTATATCTCTTCATGGAATTTAATCAATGTTTATTAAAAAATAATAATTTTTAATAAACATTGATTTTCGTTGAAATTGTTGTTTTTAATAAACACATAACATTATGTATGTACATATGTACTACAAATGCACAAAACCCGCTTTTCTTCGTACATTCGATCATCCGGATTTTCGATTATCCGAATCCCTAACGGCAACAATTAGTCCGGTTAATCGAGTATATATATACATATTGAGAATCTAAATTGAGAATTTAAACTATACGCGTGTGTGTGTTTGTGTGTATATAAAGAGGGCTACTTTTAATATCGCTCATTTTAATATCAAAAATTTAGGTTATCTTTATAGCAGTATTATATTTTCAATTCAAAATTAGTACTGCATTTGTGATAACAATAAAATGTAGGTATGTATATAGAGTACTCACTCATTTTCTTTCACTATTTTTTCGTGACTTTCTTCATTAATAATAAATGCACTTTGTTCATTCATATTCAAAATTTCAAAACACTTTATACACAAACACCGTGTCGAAGACTGAGGAAAAGAAACGACGTTAGACCATCGTTAGACAATGCACGGCCTTCAAGCCACACCTCCGTGCCCGTCGGAGAGCGTGAGGTTTTTTTCGTTACGAAATTTCTGGATTTTCCCGCACTCAAGGCCCGCGATAGAAGCTATGCAATAGCTTAAAAACGTAACAAACTTCTGACAGATAAGGCAGATCTTTGGTGTTTTTGCACCGTAACCTGACTATGGTAAATTTTAAATATGACTAGATAGATAAGAAAAGTTGGTTTAATATGATTGTTGAAAACAAATACCCTTTAATTGTAATAAAAAATACTTGAGATTAATGAATGTTGAATCAAAAACATTATTTTTTTATTTAATTTATGGACTCCTATCCAGATGTTTACTAGGAGAATACAAAGTTTATTTCATTTTTGTAATATGGTTAATTATTAATTAGGCAGGGATTTCTAAGATTAATAACTAATTAACTAAGATTAAGGTTAAGAACTAAGATTAAGATTAATGATTAGATAGGAACTGATTAATATAAGGTTTACATTTACAATGTTCCGAAATAAATAAATAAATAATTGACCATGAATGAGTAAAAATAATATCTTTTATTTTACAGTATCTAATGTTGTTATATAAGGTGCTTCTAAAATATATGCCACGGTTGTTTGTATGGAGACTTGGCCAATCAGCTGACCGATTTCCATACAAAGTGCAATTTTTTTTGAGAATTGACTATGGGTTCCTTGGGGAAAGTGGTACAGTATCATGAGTAGAACCACCAGTTGCAGCCATGGCATATTGTAGTTTAGAAGCACCTTATATTTCAGTTAAAATAAGTGCAAGTAGGTATTATTTTTCTTGTACCGAATTTAAACTATACGCGTGTGTGTGTTTGTGTGTATATAAAGAGGGCTACTTTTAATATCGCTCATTTTAATATCAAAAATTTAGGTTATCTTTATAGCAGTATTATATTTTCAATTCAAAATTAGTACTGCATTTGTGATAATAATAAAATGTATGTATATAGAGTACTCACTCATTTTCTTTCACTATTATTTCGTGACTTTCTTCATTAATAATAAATGCACTTTGTTCATTCATATTCAAAACACTTTATACACAAAAAACACCGTGTCGAAGACTGCCGCAAAAAAGAAACGACGTTAGACAATGCACGGCCTTCAAGCCACACCTCCATGCCCGTCGGAGTGGGGAGCGTGAGGTTTTTCGTTACGGCGGAATAAATTTCTGAATTCGGTCCCCACGCTCAAGTCCCGCGATAGAAGCTATGCAATAGCTTAAAAACGTTTTTTTTTTTCAAATTCTTTCTCCTTCTATATCTTACGAACGAATGAACCGATTTTTATTTTCCAAACGACATTCGACATCGTTTTTGATTTTAAGAGCTGATTAGTTTTTTTGAAATCGATCGGTAAAGCCGTACTTATTCCAAAAAAACAGCTTTACAAAATTTTTATTTTTGAGATTTCTCAAAATTTACTCCTCCGAATCAGTTCATTTTATCACCAAATCTATTACACATTGAGATTTTTAGAACGTAGCAAACCTAATCTTAATCGTTTAAGAATTTCAAAAGTTATGAAAGGTTTACATACTTACACAACAATAACTTTCATATTTTTGAAAATTTTCTATTTTCTTAGCGGAAAGTTAAAAATATTCTGTCCTTAATAACATACCCAGTCAAAACTAGATAAATTAAGAAAGCAATTAGATAATTTGCGGAATCAGCGCTGCAATAATAGGCTTGCAATATACCCACTACAACTATTTACAGAACTAGCCTTAAAGCCTAGCCTCAAGAAAAATCGTTTTAATCTTTATAATAGCGCTCGGCTTAAATGAGTTGTTTCTTAAGAGATCTTGAAAGATTAATAGGTTGCCACTATGGGTATCCAAGGGGATTTAATTTCAATATACAACAATATAACATAGATATAAACATAGATATAACTACTATTTGCTTTGCGAAGGTAATAAACAACGCTTTAGTTGCGCAAGCGAGGATCTGGAGCTTAATTTTGAGGGGAATTATAGAGTGAAGTTTCACTGGCATCATTGTTACATCTCAACTTTATATTAGAGCATGGAGTAAAATCTTTAAAAAAACGACGGGTTGCACTCCGGGAGTGCCGGCAGAAGTGAAAACTTGAATAGGTATTAACGTTGTGCATTTTTGATATTTTGGAATGGTTAGGGAATAATTTTGCACAAATTGCTTTAATTATCAGTATAAAAGTACTATCATTTATGTGGTGAGAGAATATACTATATTTATTTATTGCACTATCGTACACAAACATGACAATTTATATTACATTCGTGCAAGCGTCCTGCGCCGCCTAAACGAAACAGCAGTCGCAGACATACATTTTCGCCGCGCCGTAGAAAGAGAGGGGGGATACTTTCTCTCCTACGCCGTCCGCCTCACGAATTTTCGATCAGGTCACGTGTCCTGACGCGACATTTTTTACCCATTACAAAGAGTGTACAACGCCGCTAAAGAAGTTTTCACTTCAAAAATATATTTAATTTAAGAAGAAAAGGAAAGGATGCGAAACTATTTTAAATAATTTGGCCTATTAGTCAACAAAAAAAGTCATGTCCATTTTCTCAGTGACTAATGTCTACAGTCATGGGCTTGAAAATTAGAATAATTGTTGATTTTTTTCATTGGTGCTTAAGATCTTTTGGTGAAGGAATATAAATATAAAATATAATCAACGTTTCAAATAGTTTGCTTTGAAGATTCAAAGTACATGTTTCTTCTATATTTTTTCGCATGGATATCGGATGGATTATGTTGGACCTCTCATGGAGGATTTGCCTTAAATGTCATGCTCGTCGATAATCGTCACATTTAGTGCAACTGTTCATTGCTGGTTTGGTATTTTAGGTCCGGGGTAAACGAGATGGCTATACCACCATGTGGGAAACCATAAGAAAAGAATCTGGCATTTCCTATAGTCTCCTTGTACTACACATACGATATGAATTACGTTACGATAATAGATTATCTTACGCTACTACAACATCATGACAAAAGAATTAGCGCTCCATCCTTAACATAGAACAGAAATTTGCAATGCAAGAACCTATGTTTCTCTAAATAGGAGTAATTTCTAACTTTGGTAATTTTTAGTATCTTCTAAAGGCATTTAAAGAACTCTTGGAGTTAGAGTTATTCATCGTTTGATTTGTTTTATAAAATCACACCAAATAATTTTAAATGTATTTATGCTATTATTACTATTTGATTTGTATCAGTGGTATAGTTTACAGGCTCAAAGTAAACCAAGTAAAAAAACGACGGGTTGCACTCCGGAAGTGCCGGCAGAAGTGAAAACTTGAATATTAACGTTGTGCATTTTTGATATTTTGGAATGATTAGGGAATAATTTTGCACGAATTGCTTTAATTATCACACACGAGCATTCGCGCAAGCGCCTTGTGCTGCCTAAACGAAACAGCGGGCGCAGGCATACATTTTCGCCGCGTCGTAGAAAAAGAGGGGGATACTTCCTTTCCTACGCCGCTCCTGCGCCGGCTGTCTCTCCTTCTACATCCGTCTTACGAATTTTCGATCAGGGTCACGTGTCCAGACGCGAGTTTAACATTTTTTACCCATTACAAAAAAGTGTATAATGAAAAATGAAAACAAAAAAAAATATAAAGAAGTTTTCACTTCAAAAATAATTAAATCGAGTAATAACCAATTAATTAGCTATAATCGAGCACCGCGGCAGAAACAGGAAATGGGCAGCAGCATCTACTTGATACTCTTAACAACTGAAAATAATAATAAAGCTTGAGGTTGCCCATCCGCCTGTCTAGCTTAGCAGCTTTGGTAAAATTACCTCTTTGAGCTGTGGTAGATCAGATGGTTAACGCTCGCTGTAAATATAATAGAACGCGAGTAACCCAGGTTCGATCCCCGCCGTCACCAATTAACTTGTTAAATGGAGTTTTAAGTGCTGATTTACCACGTGCTCGGCGGTGAAAGAAAACATCGTGAGGAAGCCTGCATGTCTGAAGAATAAGAAAAAAAAATTCGAAGACGTGTGAAGTTCGCCAACACGCATTGGGGCAGCGCGGCGGACATTTCCTTGCACTAAAACCCTCTTAGAAATGAGGGGAGGCCTGTACCCAGCAGTGGGACGTACATATGCTGCAAATTTTACCTCTTTGAGAAAATTCATGGGAGCGGCATCTGTTGAGCAAAAAGAGCGACTATAAGGAAGGAATGATAAATTTTACAAATGGTAGGTAGCCGAGATAATTAAATTATTACTTTTTTTTAGAAACTTATTTATTTTGCAAACGGTGACACACACAGCAATGACGTTATATCAGTCTTTTCTATTGTCCCAATAAATTTTAGGTTTTTGGGGTTTAGGAGGTTTTAACCATCTTTTGGGTGGATCATGTTTTTCGGGTTGATCAGGTACTGTGGGTTGTTCAGGTTTTTTGGGTTGATCAGGTACTGTGGGTTGTTCAGGTTTTTCTGGTTGATCAGGTGCTATGGTTTGGACGGGTTTTTTGGGCCACGAAACCGGATCTGAATGCAGAGTCACTTGAACCCGTACAGCGTGCGTGCCAGCTGGCACAGGGAGTTTTAGGCTTCCACTCTCTGTTTCTCTTTGCTCTTCCAGTATAATTCTACCTCTTGCTGCTTCTTTTAGTTCATTTTTTTCACTGAACATTTTATTTAATTTTTTCTGTATCGGCAATAATTTGAGTAATAACGGGCTGCACTTTAGCTTTTGATGTAATATGTTTGTCGATTTTGTTGTTGTCGTATTCCGCCAAATTAGATATTGCTGTGTGTAATTTGCGTACTCCTCCGTAAGAACTCTTGGGTTGGCGTCGTAATCGCTCGACAAGAGAAGGCTGCTGACAACAAAGTGGTTCGGGTGTCATTTTTGGCGGAGAAGAGCACCAATCAGCGAGTTTTTTGGGATCGTTTCCCTTATATTGGTTCTTAGGGACGGTTACTTTCTTATCAATTTTCTTACTTAAACTGCTTTTATATCGAGATTGAAGCTGGTTATTAGTAGGCGTACATTGTAAGAGTTTGGAGACATAATTTCTTGGAGTAGATACGCAATGAGAAGAGGATGAAATAATATCATAAATCCGATTGATTTCAAGTAAAATACGTGAACGACGTGCAGAAGTGTCCACGTGAGGAACTCTGTTAATATCACAACTTATGGCGAGATCAAAATCACCGTAAGCCGTATTAGTTCGCCTTTGAATATTGAAATCTGTTGCAGCTGTGGGGTGTGGAGGTAGTACGATGTAATCGCGACCGTCAGTAGCGCGCTCCGTTTCATGGTCAGCGCCAAGCCGGTAATCAACGGTTGGCCGTGGCGGCGCAATTGCTTTATTTCGTTCGGTTACTCCACATTCATAGTCGAGCCGATGCGTGAGTTTTGCAGCTAAAATGCACTGTGATACTAGATCTAAGGTATCTGCACAGCTTCCACTCGTCGAATTTTGTGACTCTGTACTGGACTGTACTTTGTTCTTTGATGAGCACTTCGAATTATTCTACGTAAAAAAATAATACATTAGTAGTATCAGCAAAATACAAGAAGCAAAATACAAAAATAATATAATAGTTAGCAAAAATAATATATTAGTTGTACAGGGATCGTGAATAAAGTATAAGAGAGACTTTATCATCACAGTTGACAGATAAAAGTGTGATAATGAATTCTCTATCCACTCTTAGGGGACGCACATGAACGGTAGTAGACTGTTTAAAGACTGATTAATTTAAATGAATTTTTTTCAGCGCCATGCCAGATATTTTGTATATTTACAGTAAATTCAATAGTTTATGAAAATTGAGTTCTAGTACTGATTTTTTAACTTATGCTAAGAAAGTTGAAAATTTTCAAAAGTAGGGAAGTTATTGGATTATAGTTAGGTAAGGGGATGTCCAAACTAGGCCTTTCCTATGTGAATAATCACGGAGAAGTTTTTGACCAAAAGCCAGAACGTTTTTTGTGCGTACGCGGTTCACTTGAAAAAGTCTTATAACAGAGTGGACAACATATTATGGCAAACACTGGACTCATTTAAGCGCTGGGTTGATACAGGCATTAAAATTAGTTTATTGGTACTAAAGTGCATTTGTCAGGATCACGTGCAGCTAACAGAATGTACAAACTGCTCCATCCGTGCAGCGTGACTACCACTCGCCAAAAGTATTACTGTTTAAATATCATATACATATTTTAAAACAAACACAAATTGCATAATGTGTATTTCAGTGAAACAAGGATAAAAACAACAAGGTTTATCATTTTACGAAAATAAGTCCCAAGTAGGTATGGAAATCACAATAATAAAGTTTACATATCACGTATTGAAAGTATACAGAAAAAAATTCTAGGATAGACTTCAAGGCACAAAAATATTCAGCCAATTATTTTGAAAGATGTAGGAGATATTATTTTTTGCCGTTGGAATATATACTTAAATTCAATGATATTTGTTTCTTAGATAATATATTAAATGGATCAATTGATTCTTCTGAGCTACTTACTCACATATTAATGATTTGGACCGATTTAATGAGATTTAAAGAGCAACCTTTGCTATATATACAACTTGCTTCAACGAATTATAGAAGAAATTCATTATTTCTACACAATGGAAATTAATAAGCTTTCATCTGTAGTAGATACTATTTTACTAGTTCGAAATCTGTAAAAAAGTGATGAACGCATAATTTTTCACTCACAGCCGTGACCATCATTACTCAAGTTGCAAGCTCCTTAGTCTCACGGCAAATTATTAATGTTTTTGCATTCGTTTTTGTTATTGTTTTTGTGAGTAGTTCAAGCATTCCCTGGAGTATTTTAAATTTGAATGAAGTTGCGTGAAAGTAATATTTGGAGGCTTGTAATTAGCAATTCTTATCACCATTTTGTAACTTTACGAAGATATTGGTCTGTAAGACTTCCTAAAATGAATAAATAAATAAATTTTGTAATAAAGATCCAATTCGAGTTGCTGGGACAAGCCAAAATTTAAGTCTAAAGCAAACGCCCAGTCCCTAAGTTACTACGGCTCATATAAATCGTCTATCATACTACTACAAAATAAATATAGATGAATTAAAGCTATGCTTACGATTTTCAGCAATCGCATGAGTCCTCGCAACGTCTGCCTGTGTAACGCCATGCTGGTGTGTGTCGCAGTCTTGACAATTAAAAACTGTCTGTCCTTGCTGATCCGGTTGGTCACCCCAAACATCTCGATGGTCGTTAAAACTAACATTTTTTTTTTCTTTTGTAGTTATAAATATTTATAAGGTCGATGCTATCAGAGATTGTCCTAATTCAATTGCTGTTATTTACATATTCAGCTTTCTAGTACAGAACATGTCTATTACAAAAATTAGTCATTCGACTGTGTGAGCTTTGTATATTGACTTGGAACACTGAATTTTAAGAATTTGACTGCCTGTTTTGCCAGCCTTGACCTAGTAATCGTAAGCGCAACTGCTAATAACGTGGTTTTAAGATCGGATCCCGGGTCGGGTTAATTTTTTTTATAGGAGAAGGATGACAAACGAGCACACAAGCCACCTGATGGTAAGTGGTTGCTGTGGCCCATAGACATCCACATCTATCCTCGATTACGAGTCAAAATGCAAAGGCGTTGTCACCCGTGAGGACTAAAATGGAATGCCCTGTTTCCAGTAAAAAGGTTCTCCGGTTCTCTACACTCACCATACGAAACATAGCAGCGTTAAACTGCTATTTTACGCTGGTATTCTGTGTAATCCCCTGTTTGAGCCGACCCAATTGTGCTAAACTATACTACTAATATAGCTGCAGCGTGAATCTACCACGTAAAAACCACGTAATTGGATTCATCTGGCGAGAAATTCCTAGTAACAGCCCGGAATCGGGTATTTGTTAGTAGTTTACCTCCGTGCCTCACACAGAAATTAAAGCCGATGATTTGCGCTTGATCGCGTGATCACTCTCCGGTTGTGTCAGATTGCTATCCCAACTGACTACGAAAGTAAGCAAATAGGGTACTGTTCCTGCTATAATTCTGTCCTGCGCATAGTGATGCGAATCTTCATTTAAATTTTTTTGGTCGCCATAGCCAAAATTCTGTCTGGTGGATATTATTACTATTTCTCAGATTATTTTATGTTGTTTTTTTTTTCAACATCGTAATCAACCCACTCAAACATTATAAAAATATTTAAGATCATAAGTATATAACAACAAAACACAACACTTTATAATAAGTTTTCATAAAAGATTCTAAATAAAGTTATAAATTCTATTACTTTTAACTTTCTATAATTACGATTTGGCTGCCGAATTTTCATGTTACCTGATTAATCTTGTTTTACATATTTCTATGCAAGGCGTATGCTAAATTTATCTTTTTCGTGTGCGAATGCGAAAGAAGGCGTCAATTTGTCTATAGGTTTCTCTGTCTACGCTGCATATATTTTTTTACGGTTGGCGCCATTTCCCAAAAATGATCTTTGCTAATGCAGGTTTAGTTGTTTGTAAAAAAAATGAGTAATTTCGACGATATTTTATTTGAATTAACACCAACGGAACTCAGTATAATTGCACAAAATGTTTCGGAGAACATTTTACCAGAAAAGTCAAAAAGTCGCTACATATCTACATACGAAGAATTTATTGCTTGGAGAGAAGAAAAAAAGCGAATAGATTTTAAGAAAATGTTATGTTGGCATACTTCTCCGAACTCTCAGCAAAATTAAAACCTTCTACATTATGGTCGAGGTTTCCGATGATAAAAAGTATGCTTAAAATAAGGAACAAAGTGGATATAAATGAATACCCAAAACTAAATGCTTACTTAAAATGACAATCAGATAGTTTTACAACTAAAAAAGTCGAAAATATTAACATCGAATGAAATGAAAAGGTTTTTGAACGAAGCTCCCGATGATCGTTATTTAGCCACAAAGGTAATTTATTAATAAATACTTATATTTTTCTTTAGTATTCAGTTTACGAAATCGCAAAATACAGACAATATAATTTAAAAAAAGTATTAATCAAATCACTTTTTTTGTAGGTTACGCTGATTTATGGCGTTATTGGAGCTTGCCACAGAGAGAAGTTAGCCAATATTACTTTAAAAGATATTAAATCCCATGGAAAAATGCTACTATTCAAGATTCCGAATACAAAAAATAAGACACCAAGAAGCTTTGTTGTTGAAGGAGATTTTCTTAGAATAGTGCAAAAAATATATTAATCAGCGGTCCCAAAAAGCAAAAACTGACCTGTCAAAAGGGAAATGTACCGCTCAAGCAATGGGATAAATAAATTTGGAATATCCAAAAGAAATAGCTACGTTTCTTGGCAGATCAAGAAACGGATGCTGAGTATAATACTGGGCACAGCTTCAGAACCTTCAGAACCTCTGCTACATTATTGGCTTATTCAGGAGCCAATTTGACGTTCTTAAAGCGACTAGGAGGTTGTAAGTCAGACAAAGTTGCAGAAGGCTATATTGCTGATTCATTAAACAACAAACTATAAACTGGGAAAAAATCACACAATCCTATAATTTAAAATCCAGTCCGTCTCCTTCACATGACAATACCGAAGAGAACGTTCGTCCATCTACCTTCATTGATAATGATAATTCATCAGATCCAATTCCATCAACTAGCAAATGTCATTGTGTCACCTTTGACAAATATACATGAACAATCATACGAAATTAATAATAGTTTGTCTCAAACAGTAAATATGCAAATTCCCGTTAGTATAAAAAACTGTACCAATTTAAATTTATATGTGAGTTATAACTTTTATAAGAAATAAATGATTGGTGAGTTGAGTTTATTGTGATTTTATTATTTTATTAAATTGCTTCATTTCTTCGCAACTGTATTAAAAATAGTTGTTTAGTACACGTGCGGAACCGTCATTGCAACTTGTTCCGACTGTCTGCAATGACAGGCTTTTCGCACTCGTAATGAAATATGCTTTAACAATGCAGGTAAATTAGTAGGCCGTTAAAGAACTATAAGGAATAAAATAATTTTATGTAATCAAGTAGGTGCTAAGATACAGCGTACAAAAGAAATAAATCCCTATTGAAATAATACTAATTTTTACGGAATTTATCGCGTATATTTAACTTTTTTACCCGACGTTTCGAGAGCTTTACAGCACCCATGGTCACGGGAAGGACTGAGATGTTCAACGTCCAGCTGTCATAGTTAACCGCGGTTACCATAGATTAAAATTTAACTTTTGTTCCGATCTACACAGTATGAACTTATGGTATCATGGAGTCTTGCAGTTGTATGCTTGGGTTGGGATTTAATTTTATTTATTATAGGATCCCAAGCAGATGGTAGCACCCAGCCATCTTCTCTATTGAAATTAGGATGTTTTTTGATTTCAATAGCCTCGCGAATCATCCTTGGAAGGAATCGGTGTTCTTTAGCGAGGATTTGTGGTCTATCAAATCTGATGTAGTGACGGGGGCGATCCTGTACATGTTCACAGACTGCAGAC